ATGCATTGAATAGGTACAAACATACGATTATCTAATATCATCTTTGTAAAAGAACATGTCAAAGGTTTCTTATTTATTACTCGCGCAACAGCGGCGTCTGTCACTCAGCTCGTAGATTTTTCTTTCATTGTGTCGGATGTCTCGCAGACCCAAATTATGGGGTTGCTCTTTGCCCTTGTATGTAAATATACCTTGAAAAGTTGTTATCCTTAAAATGATTCGAATAAATCCCGAATATCTCAGTCACTTCTCGCGATGGAACCGCTAGAATCTCGTCCATGCGTCCTCCTTTGTTGTGATTCTTGGCGTGCCGAGATGTATTGAAATTTTCGAATTATGATCGTCAGTATTATTGAAACTGAAAAATTTCAGCGCCTAGACATTGTTTGGTCATATAGTAGTTAGGAAACCGAATGAAACATTATATATTTTCTGAATAAACCAAATAAACCGAGTTTTACGAACATGGCACATACATTACCCACCAATGTTTTGGTTTGGGTTGAGTAAATGACGTCATAAGTACTCATGCCAGTCTTCTTGAGTTGAATTCTGTGAGTCAAAGGAATTAATGGCGGACGAAAATAAATTGTAAAATTTTGGCCCTTTCCTTTCGAATATCAGAAAGATATTCCAGTGGGTGGTTCTTAATGTATTCAAGATTATTTCAGCAAAGTTCCAGCTCGAATGAAAGAGTTTTAATTTTGGAGCAATTTTCGTCCAAGTGGCCCTTAAAGTGTATATGACACGAAAACATTTCATCGTTTAAAATGTATAGTTTGTTAATAATGATAAATATATCGTAATAAAATTTATTTCAAAAGCTTAATTCTTGAGATATGTGAGAAAATTAAGCCCAATTTGTGACGTCATTTTGTTGACACGTACTCTACATTCGGTAGTAAYGCACTAAATATAAATTGTAATTCATATAAAATAACAACAAAAGGCATATTCTATTAAACTTCATTTGATAGCTTACGTAGTACTCTTCAAATGTTGGGGAACTGAAAAGTGTACTACATGAAATTAAGATTCTGCATTCAAACAAATTTCGTGTATTTGCAACTAAATCTGGAGACTTGTAAACAAAATGACGTCACAACTCGTGCTACATTTTCTTGAATTTCTAGAGAAATACGTTTTTGAAACAAATTTAACTGTGATATTCTTATTCATGCCAATAAAATACACATTTTTAACATTAAAATGTTTTCGTGTCATATGCACTTTAAGCAGAAAGGAAACAAGGACTTACAAGTTTGGAGAACATCTCGCCACCTTCTGGTGGCTTAGGGCTGTGTTGGTAGTCTTTACGCCTTGGTCTCTGCATCATTTCACTTTTAGCAGGCCAAGTGGGGAACATGTCTGGATCAACCGGAAGGGGTGATTCCTATGTTTTAAAAAATATCATGGAAAAATCACTTCAAGGAAATATAGTTCTAATATAGTTTACTAAATACTAAATATTGTATTCAAGAAACAAGAAACAAGAAAAGATATTTTTATCTTTGGCATAACATTTTCCCATTCCAGACCATGTGTCATTCTCTTGTGAATATTATGATACTTTGCTTATATTATATCCATATCCAATTGTCCTCTCATGTGTGACTGTTAAACAAAAAAATGATACTCTAAAGAAAGGCAAATGGGAAGACAGTATGACCAGGTAAAAAGGTATCTTGGTCTAACATATAAAAAACACATCCAGTGCTGCTTACGTTAAAGTATTCATGCTTTAATGCTTCCTCTGCTGTGATCCTTCTGCTTGGATCATAAGTCAAAAACCTGGAAAACAAAAACCAAAATTAATAGTTACCCAGATTTTAATAAGGGTTCTAAAATATTTTAGGTAAAGCAGAAGGTTGAGCTGCAGAGAAGTAAGCCAATTTGGACTTCATGGCCAACTCCCAGATCGAACCCTGAATCAACCCAGAGTCATTTTGAGTTAGGGCAGGGCAAATAGCTCACAGATCAAATTAGGTGCTTGTTGGGTTTAGGCAGAGCCTTTCCTACCTGACAATGTTTAATCTTACCTATTTAGCAGATCAAAACCTTTGTCTGTAAGATATGTTCCAAAGTTATTTCTCAGTTGATTGTATGGATACTCTGTGAAGGTCATCTGGTGATTATAGAATGATAGTAAAAATATTTTAGAAATCTAACATCACAGAAAAAACATTTAAAGATGGAAGGGAAGTAGATGGAGCATAGCCTGATAATAACAGAGGCAGGTATAACAGAGGCAGGTATAACAGAGGCAGGTATAACAGAGGCAGGTATAACAGAGGCAGGTATAACAGAGGCAGGTATAACNATAACAGAGGCAGGTATAACAGAGGCAGGTATAACAGAGGCAGGTATAACAGAGGCAGGTATAACAGAGGCAGGTATAACAGAGGCAGGTATAACTAAAGATGAGGGAAAAATAGATAATCTTTTTCAAAACAAAAATAAAACAATAGGAATTGTGCATTCTTTTAGGTTAAAAAATCATGATTAAGAGTAACAGAATGAAAAGGTGTTTACAAGGTAGAGGTTTTACAGTACTTCCAAAGAATGCTAACAAAGCTTATTTTGTGTGAGGCTGATCTTGGACAACAAGAAAGTTACCCCCGTCTCTCCATAAAATAGCTGCGAATACCCAAAGAAGGTACTCGTTATGAAAATATTTAAAGTTAAAGTGCTACTACGACGAAAATCGCTCAAACTTGGATTCAGCTGAAACTTCCTAAAAATACTCTTTAAAGGTCCAATAATCACTGTATGAAGTGTTTTCTCGATATTCAGTATGAAAGTATGATATTTTTACGATTATTTTTTGGAGTCTGTGACGTCATACACTCAACATCAAACATTGCTACATATATTTCTTTGTATATAAATCCYTAAKWTATTTTATTCCTATGARGCCCAAAGGGTRGYTAATGTGCTTATTTCACATTACTTGTGACTATRATTTATATTTTGGGGTGTTTGGGTATTTCTTTCTCCCTTTACTACTGATATTTTGATCATAAACTACAAAGAAATGTATGGAGCGATGTTCGATGTTGAGTGTGTGACGTCACAGACTCCAAAAAATAATCGTAAAAATATCATACTTTCGTCCTGAAAATCGAGAAAACACTTCATACAGTGATTATTGGACCTTTGAAGAGTATTCTTAGGAAGTTTCAGCTGAATCCAAGTTTGAGCGATTTTCGTCATAGTAGCACTTTAAGCAAACCTTTTTGACGTGAGGCAACTCAGAATATTTAGGTGGACCCGGCCATATTGAATCACTGGGAGTTCCAAGTTCCTAAATAACAGAATATATTAATTAGTGAATTACTTTTATTTATCGTGCTGGTAATCACTGATTATCAATATGTAACATGACATTGCTGTATGTTATAGAGAGGATTAGTCTTTCTTACCTTAAATATTCGGTTGATTTGATCAATTTCTGACTTTCCAGGGAAGAGTGGTTTCATTGTTAATAGCTCGGCAAATATGCAACCACAAGACCAGAGATCAATGGGGCAGGAATATTCCTAAGATCAGAATAAGAGTACTTTCATGCCCTAACCTTCAAGTATTATGTCATTAATCCCTGAAACAACCTCTGGGCTGGTCTAAATCAGGCACAGCAAACTCACAGATCAAACCCTGAAACAACCTCTGGGCTGATCAAAGTCAGTGCATGGCTAACTCACACATTGAACCCTGAAACAACCTCTTATCTTGGCAGTTCTGAGTCAGGGCATGGCTAACTCACACATTGAACCCTGAAACAACTTCTTATCTTGGCAGTTCTGGATCAGGGCACAGCTAACTCACAGATCACATTGGAATTTAGTGTATTAGGTTTGGCGAGGAACAAAAATGAGGGACTCTAGGGGTTATCGAGAGGTGAATACGCTATGACACCTGATGGGAAGAAACAATATACTATCATTAAATATACATTGACTTTTCTGCATTCTGATTGGCTGAGAGTCTCAGCTGATATCATTTTGTATTATTTTTACAGGCTGTACCTTGATTCCAAGTAATAGTTCTGGGGCTCTGTACCACAGGGTGACCACAATAGGAGTATAATGTCTTAATGGTGATCCATACTCCCTTGCCAATCCAAAATCTCCAACCTGTAAAAAAATATGAATAATAAATATAGGGAGTGGTCATAAATTAGCATGAGGGTGGGAAGGGAGGGTAACATAGGGTGACCACATACTGCTTAATCCATACAAAGGGTATTAAACTAAGGAATTGAATGAAGTTAAAGGATTACTAGTATTCTAACTGTTTGATAGACATCTCATCTCCAATCCCTTCCCTTCCCCTACTACACTCTGTAGCTTATACATTTACTAAAGTATTTCAAGATATAGGTAGTATCTCATTATCATTGTTAATCCAAGGCGAAAGGATGATAATATCCCATAAATGTAAGATCATTACCTTGAGTATGCCTTCATTGCTTAAAAGTAGGTTTGAAGATTTAAGGTCGCGGTGTAGGATCCAGTTGTCATGGAGATGAGCCACTGCTCGAAGGAGCTGAACGAGAAGTGACTTCACTTCACCTGAGGATGAAGGATTAAATTTTAAATATAAAAGCTTATTACTCTTTCATGAGAAAATATTATTAAAAAAGCAGGAACTTGTGGATAAATTGAATCACTGTGAAAAGCTTTGTGAAACTGACGTTTCGGACGTTAGTCCTTCGTCGGAATGAGTGGAAAGAAAAGATGAGAAGGGGTGAATAAATACTAAGGTGGAAAAAAAAGTGACCAATGAGAAATAAGCGTATGAAGAAACAAAAGAAAACAAAAGGATCGGAAAAAAAAGGGGAAATGGAAAGTGAAGCATGACTAATTAAAAGTGAAGCGTTCATTCATCCCATTCCATACTTGAAAAAGGTTTTATTTTATTTTATAATTCTAACCAAGTGATGTACATACCTACAGAGAACTTGCTACTCATGTGCTCCATCAAGGTTTTCAGGTCGTGTTCAACATAATCCATTACTATGTATATTCTATCCATATTGTTACCCACGACTATTTCCTGTCAACAAAAATCAAAACACCAACAACATTGTCTAAAGTCTTAACAACACCCGAACGAACATGCAGAAACTTTGGAATAAATTTTGGAACCTTTTCTTGGATATAAAACTGTCTAATCCAATAAAAACATACAAGCTTGGCCATGATAAGCATTTTATTCATCAGTCCCTATCAGTCCCTGGTCATTCTGACTGGTAGTGTTAAGCTAGCGAGCTAAAACTAACTCGAATAGGCCATCATTACCAGGGACTGATAGGCCATTATTTTAAACCCTAGGCATCAACGAAATCATGTAGTATTCAGGAGTATTAGTAGTTTGGTGTGTTGTTCTCTTCTATGCTACGAGGGTCTTTCCTCCCTCCATAAAAATCAACATGTGAGCTGAGCGTTGTGTGCATAGAATATTGAATGTAGTGGTAGTGCGTGTGAGCGAAAAGTGTCCCCAATTAGTGCGAAAGCGCTAGAACGACTAGACTCTTAAATAAAAGTGATTTATTTTTTAATTCTTAATTTATTTTAATAGGGTCTGAGTGTGTTAAGGCATGAGCATGCAGCACTCCTGTATAAAAGTGAATAGATCTGCCCAGGGAGGCGTGCATGGTCATGAGGGAGAATTTCACCTCCCTAATAGACCTCCTTGGCTTGAGCAAGGAGGACCACATAAAGTATCATTTATTCATTTAATGGCTGCAATTGGTTGCACATGAGAAGACACATGAATTTGGGTACAAATCAAAGAAAGAATCTTTTTCTCAAGGGAATGACACATGGTCTGAAATGGGGAAACATTACTCCCAAGCCGAGGAGGTCTTATGATCACTCAAACCACAAACTATTCTACATTTCCTCATGTCTTTCAATCTTTACACAAGACTCCTTACCCTGACAGTGACAATGTTTGGGTGTTGGCCTTTCAGCAATGTGTTAATTTCTCGTAGTGATGTAATAGGAAACCCTTCCTTCTCCTTCTCCATCTTTAATCTTTTCAGTGCAACAATTTCATCTGAAGACAAAATACTTTATGTCAACAACACTTCAACAACAATTAATGCTTCTACAAAATGTATTTACACTAAAAAGTTGCAATATTAAAAAGGTCATTCATTCAATAGGGACATTAAGTATGGACAAGCACAGAGGATGCAGGTGCCAAAACAATTTTGCGAACATGTTTTCAAAATGGTACTTTATGTGAATGCACCATCGTCCTCTATAGATCAAACAAAAATCGCCAACTGCCATCAAAGAGACAAAGGCAACATAGAGGAAGATGGTCAGACAAGAAAAACTGTTTTGAAAACGTGCTTGGATCATCGTTTCGGCGATGCCTTCCTTGATGCTTGGACATGCTTAAGGTCACTATGACATGTGTTTACTAGTATTTACTATGACACTTACTAGTTCGCTTGTCTCGAGCACGATATACCACTCCATAAGTGCCTTCCTCTATTCTGTTCAGCCATACAAACTCTTCGCTAACATTTCTACAGCCCTGTATACCAGGTAAATAATCTGGTAGTTTGCGTGGTCTTTCATCTTCTTTTTCATTCTCCTGTGATTCATTTAGTTCAGATTTCTCTCTTTCAGAATCTGACGAATCTTCATCACTACTTGGGTTGTCGCTCTCTGAATCAACAACTTCTGTTGAAAATTGTAATCTTTCCTGATCCATTAATATTTTGGAGACAGTTTGTTCTCTAGGAGTTTTTCTTTCAGATGAGGCTTCCCTTAACCTTGACTCAGAAGCATTCGATGTTTTTGATCCAGAATCTCTCTTGCTGGAACGATTTTCATCTTTTGAACTACTGCTTTTCCCTTCCCTCCTTTTGCGTTTATAAGAATCTCTGTCCTCCCCTTTACTTCTATTTGATTCGATCATTTCATTTCTATCTTTTATTGGTCGACTATTCTTCTCTCTTTTTGAAGATACTTTCTCACCTTTGCTCTGCTCTTCAGACTTCTCTCTACTTTTATTCTCTTTAGATAACAGATCATCACTACTGTCCTTTGAATATTTTGGCTTCTCTCTGCTATGCCTTTGTCCCTGGACTTCATCATAATTCTTTCTTCTTCGACTACTGCTTTTTGAAGGTTCTTCTGTATGACGATCATATTTGTCTCTTGATTTTGACTGTTGTTCTAAACCATCTCTTTGTTTTCTGTCTTTTTCCTGTTCTTTTCTGGAATCTGTAGTTCTTGATGATTTCATATTCACATCTTCACCATTTTCATCTTTATTTGTTTTTATATTCTGCTTTTGTTTGACATCTTTTGCTGGGGATTCTTCTTCTTCCTCCTCACTAGAATCACTGTCATCTGAGTCATCACTCTCGCTACTGTCTTTTTCACTATCATCGTCGCTATCCTCTTGATTTTCTACTTTTGTTTCTTCCTTTTTATTTTCAGATGTCTGATTGTTTTTCTCATCCTCCTCTTCCTCGTCCTCTGAGCTTTCTTCACTGTCATCACTGTCTGTATCACTGCTTTCTTCTTCTTCACTGCTTTCAGTTTCCTCCTGTTTATCTTGTGTTGATCCAGAAATGTCTTTTTCAACTTTGGTTTCTTCTTCTACTTCTTCTTCACTACTTTCACTGTCTTCATCAGAAGATTCTTCTTCACTTTCTTCTTCTTCCTCTTCTGGTTGCACAGAAAATACAAACGTAAGGTCAAAAAACGACCCACAACAAAGCATGCTTGCGCACCAAATGTCTTGTCAATACACTGAATCAAGATCTCTCAGGGCATGACTAACTCACAGACTGAATTTGAATTTATCATATTGGCATTCAAATTGGATAGGCTCTGTGCTCTGTAGAGACTAAGGAACATCAAGGAACACCAAAAAACATAATCTTTAATGCAACGCCATGTTCAGACGGGCAATTCTATTAATTTGAAAAATACAAAAATCTTGGACAATCAATTCCAATGGGGGAAACCTCTGTTTTTGGAAGAATGGTACCATTCCATAAGGAACACGACATCAATTAACGAACATGTTCAGTTCCCCAACGTATATAAAACCTTGTTGTATTTACATTAGCCCTATGCCAATGAAGGTTGTAGTATGCAACTGAAACATTTCAGTATAACTTCATTATTATTTATCAGTGTTGACTATTATTTTATGATTTCATATTCGCATTTGTTGCGGAAGGAAAACCAGACAAGCCAAAGAAAAACCCTTGAATCAAGGGAGATCTAACAAACTCTACCCACATGCGATGCTGAGTCCAGGAATCGTACCAGAGACCCTAGAGCTGAGGGGTGAGTGTACTATCACTTAATTCCCTAGACATAACCAGTACCAGCTTTGTCAGTATCAGCACTTACCTTCAGCAGTGGGTTTTTCTACCATCTCAACATCTACGCTTGTTCGTCGGCTATTACCTCTACTTCTCTGTTTGCTGGTACCACTTTCAACATCTGAAATATCACTTAGAATTTCACCTTCTTCTTCTTCAGCTGTTTTTCTTCTGCCTTTCTGTTGCATTGGTCTTTTTTTGCTACTTCCATCACTTTCAGTAGATACTGATACATCACAAAAAATTCAAAATATTAATAGCAAATTTTTATTCTTTTATTCTAATATTAAAGTATGATGATTGAACATGGGGGGCAGTGTGTGCCTGTCATGGTAGGCAGGTAATGAGATTTATTCAGCTGATTGATACCAAGCAATAGAATACTTTCTGGTTGATAGCACATGACGGCAGTGTTTTGCAGTGTTTTGCAGCTGATTGATACCAAGGAATTCAACAGTCAACATATGACTAACTGTTATGATGATGATGAGGAGGAGGAGGAGAAGGATGAGGATGATGGTCATGGTCATGATGATGGTAATGATGGCCTTAATGATATTAAATCTACATCTACATTCATTAAGTCAGCAGAAAAACTATATTCAAAATGTACACTTATCCACTAACTATGATGTTCATTTTACCGGCGTTTGCATTGCTAAGCCGCCACCCAGACAAAAATCACAACGTGCACTTTGCAATAGACTGCCGTCAATCAAGGCGCCAAAACTTCAGTCGATTATTTACAAGTATTATGAGCCACACTCACCGGGCCTATTCGGTCCAATCCAAACGTGTGTAAATGACATCAACTTGTTTGATTGATGGCAGTTTATTGCAAAGTGCACGTCGCGATTTTTGTCTGGGGTGGCTGCGTAGCAATGCAAACGCCGGTAATGATGATATAAATGATAATGACAGAGATGACTTATTCAGTCATTGAGACGATAAAGAATAGCTACATTAATTATTCTTAACACTCACATGGGCTGCTGTGATCAGGACTGAGCTGATATATAATCTCCTGTGGGGTCAATGGCGAAGGACGTTTTGAAGACGATCTGGACTCGATCTTTAACGATGGACTTGACGTAGAAGAACTTTTGCCGCTCAGACGAGAACCCTCTGTTTCTACCTCGAAATATTCGTTGTCTAGTTTTCGGCGTTTTTCCTGACGAATTTCGTCAAGGGTCTTGACTTTCCAATCACCTGCTTTTGGTAGTTTTTCATCTTCTTTGATGGACGAGTTGTCATAATCCTCCTCGTTCGAACTTCTTTTTCGAGACCATTTTGCAGTATTTCCAGACATTTTAGATATCTATGATCCTCCTTGTTTGCGTAAAATTGGAAATACTACTTGAATCACTTAAAAAATGGACTGTTTTTTTATAGAAATAAGGGGAAAATTCTAGGAAAGCCAAAAACTACTTCCCATCATCTTTGCCGCCATTTTGGAAAACGTGATTTATACGTCCGTACCAATCCCTCTCGGGAAGAATAGCCTTACGGTGCATTGTGGGTCAACATATTTACCGCAGGGAGCCCAAGAAACAAACCCGAAAATTAAAAATTATCAAATAAACTCATATCTGAATCAGTTGCACTAAATTATTTATTATAGCTTAATTTATGCTATCGTAGGGTACGACTACTAGACGACTGAATAAAATTTCCCTGACAATCATGATCTCACTAGTCTTTCTCAATCACCTGGACTGCGAGTATCCCATCTAGCCATAACCCTTCTTCAATCCCATCCACAGGAAAGAAGCCGAGTTTCCGGTAGGAAGAAAAACCGGAAATAATACCTTGAACCAAGGAGCGACTACTCTACTCGCATATGTTCTAGTGAACCTAACCAGAGGTGAACACACTTTGAACGTTTGATTTGAGCCCAGGATGTGCGCGCGCTCAAAAACCGCTGAAAAATATACTGAAGAAATAGAAAACGCGCGCGCGTGCTGTGTGCTGTCATAAAGCACGCGGGGGTTGGCAGAACACGAGAGAAGTGTTTGGAGAAGCACGACGCGTAGCGGAGTGCTTCTCGACACTTCTCAAGTGTTCTGCCAGCCCCTAAGTGCTTTATGACAGCACACAGCACAGCAAGCAAGTTTTTTTATTTCTTTTATAAAATACAAATTACAATAATAGATAGGAATGAATTTTAAAATATGAATTTTAAAAATACCCAACCGTTAGAAGATCGTACCCTGAAATACCTAACCGTTAGGAGATCGTACCTTGAAATACCTAACCGTTAGGAGATTGTACTTGAAATACCTAATCGTTAGGAGATCGTTACTTGAAATACCTAATCGCTAGGAGATCGTTACTTCAGTTACCTAATCGTTAGGAGATCGTTACTTCAGTTACCTAATCGTTAGGAGATCGTTACTTGAAATACCTAACCGTTAGGAGATCGTTACTTGAAATACCTAATCGTTAGGAGATCGTTACTTGAAATACCTAACCGTTAGGAGATCGTTACTTGAAATACCTAACCGTTAGGAGATCGTTACTTGAAATACCTAACCGTTAGGAGATCGTTACTTGAAATACCTAATCGTTAGGAGATCGTT